AATTTGGCGGGCGCAACCCCCCGGGGCCGGCGCGCGCGGCGCGGCGGCAGTTTGCGCCAGCCTGTTTCCGCCACGAGCGGGGAGAAGGAGCGGCACCTTCGATATTATCTGCCGAGCCGTGTTTTCGGTGTGGGCAGTTGTGCCGAATTGCTTTGTGCAGATGGCGGTGTGTGGAGGTATTTTTTTTCCATTTTTCTTGTCAATCGGCAGCCGTTCATGGTTTTTTTCTGGATTACCTTTTTTTTGGTATTTACTTTATGGCATTGTGATTTAGTGTAGGGATAATGTTGTGTTTTTTTTTTTATTGGTCCGTTGTGCATATATATATATATATGTATCGTTTGTTGCTCCTTGGTGCACTCTCGTTTTTTTTCCTTTTGGCATAACTAAGTTGCTTTACAAATTTCCAAATATGACGACGTTTCTGTCCTGTGTGCGTACTGTCTACAATACGCAGAATGTGGACCGTTCTGTGTACTTAATTGTGAATTGCAGCGATGGAAAGCACATCGAGGTGCCCAAGGCAGTTGCTACCAAATGCAAGTTCATTGAACCGGTCGATGACGAAAGCATTGCAGAATTTGAGTATCCGGCAGCAGTTCTTGAAAACCTCGTCTGCTGGACAGAGAAGTATGGGATGGATGGTGTTGCAGAAAGCGAGATTGCGCGCCCTTGTATTTACCGAAACATTCTCCACGTGCTGAAGTCCAAGTGGGATGCAGGTTACTTCGAGTCGCGTGTAACGAATGATCTGGCCATTGGATTCTGCCTTCAGACAATCAACGCCGCTGAGAAGTACAATATGAAGGGTCTGGTTGATTTCCTCTGCGTCGGCTTGTGCTGCAAATTCCGGAGTGATGAAGAATCCGAACTCATTCACAAGTTGATGGGACTGCCAGAAACCGTCGAAATCACACCGGAGGACCTGGAAAGCGTGAACAGTCGCTATTCATGGTTTAATGAAGCCATTGAACCAGTAGTAAGGAAATAAGACATAATTAGAAGGCATTTTGTTGGGCTTTTTTTGCTCCACGATGGATAATTTTTTTGTTTACAAAAATTCTTTATGATTATTGATTTCTCTTGCTAAAGTTGGACGTGGTTTTTTTTTTTTCTTTCTTCTTAAAAAAAAAAAGAAAATAGAATGGGCAAGCCGGGAAAAAAGGCCGGGAAGGGGTTACTCCCACCCACGAATGTCAACCGTCGCGTTGATGCCAGCAAGACAAGCTTGCGCGACCAGAGGACTGTGAAGCGCCTGAAAATGTACACGTCTAAGATTGTTCGCGATGAAAAAGGACATATCATAAAAGGGAGTGTGCTGAAGGCGTCAGACCGTGTGGAACAGCAGATGGTCCGCGTTGCCCCCGATCGACGGTGGTTTGGTAACACTAGAGTTATCGGACAAGAAGCCCTGCAGAAGTTTCGAAAAGAGATGGGTGCCAAATATAGGGACCCTTACAGTGTTATTATTAAGCAGTCAAAACTTCCATTAAGTCTTCTTGAAACAGATGCCAAGGAGGAGGATGGTAGTATTCGAAAGCAGATGGAATGGGATAAGACTTTCGGTGACAAGGCAAGTCGAAAGCGGGTTCGCCTGGATTCAGTTGATATGGAGAACTTCGCAAAGAAGGCGGCGGTGCGTAGCGACGAGTATTCTACAGAAAAGAAAGAAACTGATCGTAACCTTGTAAAGAAGGGGGATGCAGTTCGTGACGATCGTTCAAAAAATCGTGGTCTCTTCAAGAAAGGTCAATCAAATCGCATTTGGAATGAACTCTACAAGGTGATTGACAGTTCTGACGTTGTCTTGTATGTATTGGATGCCAGAGATCCTTTGGGTACTCGTAGTCCTTTCATCGAGGAGTATATGCGCAAGGAGAAAAAATACAAGCATTTTATTTTCGTTTTGAACAAGTGCGATCTTATTCCCTTGTGGGCTACTGCACGATGGCTTCAAGTGCTGAGTAAAGACTATCCTACCGTGGCGTTTCACGCGAGTGTCAACCATCCATTTGGCAAAGGTAGCGTGATCTCTCTTCTACGGCAGTTTGCAAAACTACATAACGTTACGCATCGAGGGAGTAAGAGGACGAAGACACCTATTTCTGTGGGTGTGATTGGCTACCCTAATGTTGGGAAGAGTTCCTTGATCAACACGTTGCGGCGAAAATCCGTTTGCAAGGTTGCACCTATTCCGGGAGAGACAAAGGTTTGGCAGTACGTTGCTCTTACAAGGACTATTTTTCTTATTGACTGTCCTGGTGTTGTGTATGACCGAGAAACCAACAATGATGTTCAGGCGGTTCTCAAGGGTGTTGTGCGTGTGGAACGCTTGGGAAATGCCGATAAAACAGAAGTTGTCAACGCTGTCCTCGAGATTGTAAAGAGACAAGATATTGTTGCTACTTACGGTGTAACTGAATGGAGGGACGTAACTGATTTTCTCGAAAAACTGGCAAAGCTCCGGGGTAAACTTGTAACTGGTGGACTTCCTGACACTGAAGCGGCAGCGCGCATGGTTCTCTATGACTGGCAGCGGGGACGGATTCCATGGTTCAGTGCTCCATCTTTTGATTCAAATAAGCACTATCGCGACGCGTTGGAGTTGCCGGAGGAAAAACACATGAAGCTGATTGAGCATTGGGGGTCATTTAACATCGTAGATGGTGCCATGGATCGGAACAGTGATACTGACGACGAGGAGGGAAATGAGGAGGAAGAAGAGGTTTCTAAAGAGGAGCAGCCGGGGCAGAGCAATGTCGTTTCTGAAGAGGAACCCTACAAGGGAAGGAATGTCCATTCTCGCGTGAAAAAACCCAATGTCAACGCGACAGTTGCTACTTTTACCGCGGAACAGACCGCCCTGAAGAAGAAGGAGGAACGGAAGAAAAGGACAACTGAATCTACATCAGCCTCGGCTCGAACGTTTAAGGAAAGTAATGACGACGATCTGTGGAATCGTTTTCTTGAGGCGGCTAAGAAGTGAGTTTTAAGCGTTTAATACCCTTTGGCATGTGATCCTGTATGGTGATGAGATTGCTTTCACAACCCGAAACTGCACTCCTGAATGTCTTGCATTTCCTCTCTCTGTTGTTCTTCTTTCCTTTCGCTACATGATGATTCTAGGTGATGAAGTCAGGTGCTGGCAGTAGTGGTGGTAGTTAAATCTTGATGGCACGGGAGATATATCAAGGTGATTCTCTGTGTAGCGCCTTGTAGGTTGGGTTTTTTTTCTCTGGATTTGAGGTGTGTCCAATATATATGGAGGTGAGAGATATACGCATCTCTGATTGAAGTACCTGGGGAGGTTCACTGCTGGGAAACCGGTTCAGGCCGGTTCTGTCTGGATGCTATTAAATGCGTACATTGGGTTGGTTTAATTAAATAGCTGCATTTTCTTCCGTTTAAACCAAAAAAAAAGATATTTTTCTTTCTTGCTTTTAAAGCCTCATGTACGGCGACAGACCTCTGGATCATCCCCTGGGCTTCCTAGTTGCCTTTGGGGCCTTTTTGGTCCAGTTTGCGGTATTTGGTAGCATGAACTGCTTTGTCATATTTCTTGATGATATGATGCATGATGAAACCCTTGGGTATCCATCTCAGACGGAGTTGAGTTTTGGCACTTCGATTTCTGCGGGGCTTTCACCCGTCTTTGGCATTCTCTCGGGTTTTTTGTCGGATCGTGTGCACCCTCGCATACTGCTTTTAATCGCAATGGCCTCCGCTTTCGCAGCTATTTTGTTAATGACGTTTTGCGCCAAGACAGGGATTGGGGCATCGCTGTACTTTGCCGTCTTGATGTCGTTCAGCGCAGGTATGATGTTCACACCGACAGCAGCCGTTACTTCGACATGGTTTGACAAACACCGCGGCGCCGCTATTGGTTTTGTGATGTCTGGAGGGGGCTTCGGAAGTGTCATTTTCCCAATTTTTTGCGCCCCCTTCTTGAATGAGTATGGTTGGCGCATTACGTTCCGCCTTCTTATGGCGCTTATTGCATCTGGCGTCGTGGGTGCCTTGCTTGTGGAGAAGCGGTCTGAGAAATTTTCAGCGATGGAGAGAGATTCCGAAGCAGATAGTTTATCGATGGTGCAGCCGCCTACGGAGCCAATAACATTTCGTAATACCCGTCTACAGCCAAAGGAGGTGTTGCGATTTATCAGTACGCCAATGTTTATTGTTTCATTTTTATGTCAGGTCTTTTACTCTTTTGTTTTTTTTACATCCATTTACATTCCTGTTCCCATGGCCCTTGCTATGGGCAGAGAGGGAACAGTGTATCATGATGCCGAACGCATTGATTCGGGTGTTGCCGGGCGTGTCATGATCTGGTTTGGTATCGCACAGACAGTTGGCGCTATTGCAAGTGGATATGTTTCTGCTAGTTTGGGTTGTGAGGCCGTGTTCTGTCTGTGTTGCGCCTTAGCTGGTATTAGTAGTTGTTTGTTGGCCCTCACAAATACGTATATTCAACTATCGTTTGCTGTGGGGGTTCTTGCCTTTTTTTCCTCTGGTATGTTGGCAATTTACCCGTCAATTTTGGCGAGGATATTCCACGGAGCTAACATTGGGACTTCCATGTCGCTGGTTTTTCTTGGGGGATGCGTTGGTGGACTCGTGGCTCCCCCTGTTCAATCAGCAATGCAAGAAGCCATGAATGGTGATTACACATATGGATGTATCTTGTCCTGTGGTTCTGCTGTCATCGCTGCCTACATATGTTTTTTTTTCCAATGGAAAGACGCGTATGAAATGATGCCACTAAAACGATTAGAGGTAACGCTTTTTGACAGTATTTAGCGAATTAAGCCTTACAATATCACGGAGAGCGGAAATGGCGAGTGGTGTAGATCAACAAAAATATTATAGTGCTCTCTCCACCCTTTCAATATATATATATATATATATATATATATATATTCAAAATAATAATTTGGTTTTCTTTTGCAAGTTCCTCTTTTCGAATGCATACTGCTTTTCTCTCGCGCAGCATGCTTCGTTTATTGTAAGTGTATAACCCTTTTATTAATTCCTTTCCCTCTTTCGTCAATACTTAAGCGGACTTGATTGTAGCAGAAGTCATAGAAAAGGTGGTTTGCCAGAATGGGGCTCAGGAAGGTCCTTGCCAAACCGTTCGTTGCGGTTGTAGCTTCGATGAGCAGACGCATCGAACGCATGGATGAGCCGCTGAAACGGCACATTGAGGAACATGAGGGGTCTGGTGAGGATCTGTGCGCCAGTGTTTGGCACGAGTACTGGTCATACCAGAAGGCACTCCTCAAGTATCGCCAGGAGAGGCTTATGAGCGAGCTGCTGTATCTCTCTGGTGGGAAGATATCAATGGCGACCGCGGGCATCAAAGACATTATTTTACTTTCCCGCGCCCTCACAAAATGTTTATTTCTATTTCTCATCTTCGCCATCATAGGGCGACGTTCCGTGTTTCCTGCGCTAGAACCCACATCGGTCTTCGTAGAGGAGGTCAAAACCAACTGGCAACCGAACTACAAACGCGGGTTGCTGATTCAGGAACTGAGCTGGTAGCCAATAGCCACTTCAGTCAGGAGAAGATCCAGTAAGTAATGCAGGCGCCGTTGAAAAAAGAAAAATCAGCGATTTCCGCCAAGAGTAGCAACCAGAGAGTTCAGCAACAAATCAATCAACGTCGTTGTCATCACTTCTTACTTAAGAACAACAAAAAACGCAATACATCTCGAGTTAAATGGAAAATAAAAATACCGACAATATGATGGTTTTCCCTTTACCATTTCTTAAAAAGAAAATAAAAAAGGTTCTCTACAAAGCAAATAGGTATGCGTCGCTTTGTTTCCAAGTTTGCTGCTGGTCTTCCGGCACGCTTTGCCTCCACGGCCCCTCCTGCGGGTGGCGCGGCTGCAAAAGCGGGTGGCGTGGCGGCGGCGGCAGCTGCAACAGCAGCTGCAGGGGCGACAGGATCGACGGGAGGAGCAGCTGCAGCAGCAGCAGCAGCGGGAGCAACTGGATCGGCTGCTGCCGGACAGAAGTCTTTCTTCAAAGCCACCGAGATGATCGGCTATGTGCACTCGATTGATGGCACCATTGCCACGCTTATCCCGGCCCCTGGTAACCCCGGTGTGGCGTACAACACCATCATTCAGATCCAGGTGAGCCCGACGACGTTTGCCGCCGGCCTGGTGTTTAACCTGGAGAAGGACGGGCGCATCGGCATCATCCTTATGGACAACATCACGGAGGTGCAGTCCGGACAGAAGGTGATGGCGACAGGCCAACTGCTGCACATCCCGGTGGGCGCGGGTGTGCTCGGCAAGGTTGTGAACCCACTGGGACACGAGGTTCCCGTCGGTCTGTTCACACGCAGCCGCCCGCTGCTGGAGCAGACGGTGGGCAAGGTGGATGCTGGCGCCCCGAACATTGTGTCGCGCTCCCCTGTGAACTATAATCTGCTGACCGGCTTCAAGGCGGTCGACACCATGATTCCCATCGGTCGCGGCCAGCGTGAGCTGATCGTTGGTGATCGACAGACTGGCAAGACGTCCATCGCTGTCTCGACTATCATCAATCAGGTCCGCATCAACCAGCAGATTCTGTCGAAGAACGCGGTCATCTCCATCTATGTCTCCATCGGGCAGCGTTGCTCCAACGTGGCACGCATCCACCGTCTCCTTCAGTCGTATGGTGCGTTGAGGTACACGACTGTCATGGCGGCCACTGCCGCAGAACCCGCAGGTCTGCAGTACCTTGCCCCTTACGCCGGCGTGACCATGGGCGAGTACTTCATGAACCGCGGTCGCCACTGTCTGTGTGTGTATGACGACCTTTCAAAGCAGGCCGTTGCGTATCGTCAGATCTCGCTGCTGCTGCGCCGCCCACCAGGTCGCGAGGCGTACCCCGGTGACGTCTTCTACCTCCACTCGCGTCTCCTGGAGCGTGCTGCCATGCTTTCACCTGGCAAGGGTGGCGGCTCCGTGACGGCTCTCCCCATTGTGGAGACGCTTTCCAATGATGTGACAGCATATATCGTGACGAATGTGATTTCGATCACTGACGGACAGATCTACCTCGACACGAAGCTGTTCACTGGCGGCCAGCGACCTGCGGTGAACATTGGTCTCTCTGTGTCGCGTGTCGGCTCGTCCGCGCAGAACGTGGCAATGAAGGGTGTCGCGGGCAAGCTGAAGGGTATCCTGGCAGAGTACCGCAAATTGGCCGCCGACTCCGTTGGTGGGCAGCAGGTGCAGACAATCCCCATGATCCGCGGTGCACGTTTCGTTGCGCTCTTCAACCAGAAGCAGCCGTCGTATTTCATGAGCGCAATTGTGTCGCTGTATGCGTGCCTGAACGGCTACCTGGATGATGTGAAGGTGCACTACGTGAAGTTCTACGAGTACCTTTTGGTGCACAAGGATCTGAGCATCATGTATGGCTCCGCGAAGAACAAGTTTTTCTACATGTATCTCCAAGAGCTGAACTACATTATCCGCTTCTTTACGCTGAACAGCCCGATCCTGCACGGCGAGGTTGAGGAGATGCTGAAGCAGCACACACAGTTATTCCTGCAGCACTACCAGTCCAAGATGAACGCCATCAAGAGCGAGAAGGAAGTGAAGGCACTGAAGAACCTTCTGTATTCTTGCAAGCGTGTGGTTTAGTCGCGGTGTTTGTGAGTTCCTCGTCTGTGTTGTGGCACATGTTGAAAAAAAAGGGTTGTATAGCAATTGCACAGGGTTTTGGCGTTTCTAGTGAAATTGCCCCAAAGAGAGCGGTTTGTTGTAGGCTGTAGGTAATGGTATACACTGCGTGAAAGTTGTGGGGGTGACAGGTGATCGTTTTTTTTTTCTGGTGAAAAGCCCGTTGTTTTTATTGCTTGTCTTTACTGGTACTTTTTGTCTTCCCTCTTCATGCATTTGATGTGTTGTCAGTGGGGTAGGAAAACGAATGTCTAAGATATCGTCAAGAGGGTGGTGCTACGCGCGGTGCGGACCGATCGGCAGTGTTTTAAAGCAAACTACCTTTGACGTTGTAGCAAAAAAGGATGATGTTGTGGTAGAAATGCTGCAGGCGCCGTTGCACCGGAGCGATGCTGCTGTGGTAAACGGAACAGCGTTGGGCCGTAAGCGGCTGGCGCTCTCTGGCTTTCCGAGAGTGGGCGGCTCAGAGGGCGTCGGGAAAGTTGTTGCTCGGGGTATCTCAAAAACAATCAAGGAGGGGGATACAGTGTGGGTGGCGCCGGTACACGGGACGTGGGCGACGCGGGTTGCGGTGGATCATAACATGGTCCACAAGATCGACCCAAAGCATATCCCTATTGCGGTGAATGCGTCTAATTACATAGTTGCGCAACACCTCCTCAATGGCTACACAGCTTTGCGGAAGGGACAGATTGTCGTTCAGAATGGCGGCAGCAGTGTGACCTCACTTGCCGTTGCTGCATTGGCGAAATCGCACGGTGTGAAAGTTTTGACGGCTTGTACTCCCGGTCAGCGCTTTAATGCTGCCAAGGAGCGCCACGCGAAGTATGGCAGCGAGGNACGGTGTGAAAGTTTTGACGGCTTGTACTCCCGGTCAGCGCTTTAATGCTGCCAAGGAGCGCCACGCGAAGTATGGCAGCGAGGTCTTCGAGTATAATGGAAAGGGTTTTCGTGCAATGCGACAGGCGATGGGGAACGTTGGAGCGGCGCTTTACTTAAACGGTGTTGGCGGTCGCCAGTTTGACACGTTCCTCGGATTACTTGGGAGTGGGGGGCATGTGGTGTCATACGGTGCACAAAATGGTGTGGGCATGATGATATCGGGATCAAATCTTATCTATAACGAGGTGACGATGCAAGGATTTTTTCTGCCCTCATTCCTTGCGGGTCTTTCATACAGCGAGCGACAGACAAAATTAGACTTCGTGCTTCAGCAGCTTTTATCTGCCGGGTTCAGCTACCCTACATCATCGGCCGCGTCTCTTGATGAACTGCCAAGAGTGTGGGACGACGCCTTTGTGCATGGTGGAAAGAAGGGTGTGGTTATTATAGGCAAGTAAGATGCGCACAGTAAGCAAAGAGATTGGGAAAGGTTTCCGTTTTTCTTTGTTTAGCAAGTGATGCTTCTTTTCATTTGGGTGGGAACGGGTTTGAGACGAAGAGAGGGGAGGGGAGGGGAGAGGGCTGTAGTGTAAAGGGACGCGGGTAGTGTTTTAGGGAGTGTGCTCATAGTGGCCAGTGGAGCTCCACTGGTGCCGCCGTTGCATCGTGTCTTGGCACTAGCGGTTCTGCGGTGGCGCTGCTGAACCCTTTTTGGCTGCTGGGCGATTGATGTGTAGCAGAAAACTGTGACACCAAAGGAGTATTGAGCATAGTGTGTATGTTTGTGTCTGTCTGTGCGATGACCCATAGAATGCAACAAGGGAAATACAGCCCGTGCACTGTGCTCGTCTCTTGACAGCAGTGAATTCGTTTCTGCAAAAATTAATCATTCTATATAGACTGTTTTGGTCTTGCGTTTGACATATATGTGTGTGTCTGTGCGCAGGAGCTCCATCGGTCTTTTTTCACCCTTTTATTTCAACTTCCTCATGGCGTTTGAACTGTTTTGCTGTTCGTCGTAGTGAGGGGTATTGCCACACACCATGCCGCCCCTGGACGGTAGCAAAGCTGCCATGCACGTCGATGCCCGTACCGTGCTTGATGATATACAACGCACAGGGCAGCTCATAGAGGAGCTCCGCCGGTTGAAGAAGTACGGTGGAAGTCGCATGGAGCTGCAACGACTCAAGGATGAGATCAGTAGGCTAAGGACCACCCAGTTAAGCCTCTTTGAAGCCAACAAAATCAATGCCGCTCCCTGTGTGCGGTCTGAACCTCCCCCAGCATCAACTCGTAGTGATGGTCTGATGGTGACTCCACGATCGCACACTGGCCAACGCCTCGAAGAGTCAAGAAGACCTTCATTGAAGGTTTTAAAGTCACTTGCTACACATTGCTCAGGTCAAAGGGCAACGGAACAGCGAATCAGCCAAGCCACCCCGAGACACAGCACGCAATATAGATCCTCCGCGCCTTCAACGGACAAGCAAGAACGATCGTCCGGCACCGATAGAGAGGAGTACAGAAAATACTGCTCTGTCGCCTTTGCTGTTGTTTTGGCCGAGGCTCACACGCGACGCGAGATTATTCATAAATGCGAGAAACGGCGGATGAAGCTCATGGGACTTTTTAGAGAGGGACGAATTCTAATCTCATCTTCACAGCCCAGTGCAATCCAGACCCACGAAGATAACGATATACCCCGCTTCGCCTCAAAAAGTGAAGCAAAGGAAACAACCATTTCTCCCCCATACGGCACACTAAACCACCACTCATATTCCATACCAGATAATGTCATTGCGTCCCGCCACCAACTGCGTTACACTTGCAGCGAAGAAAGGAGAGGTAGGGGAGATAACTTTGATCACGGAAACGGGGGTGAACCCTCGCGCCAAGCAGAAGAGGCTGATATTGAGGCTAAGACGGAGACTAAACGTAAGGCTCAGGAGGAGGCTGAAGCCAAACGTAAGGCTCAGGAGGAGGCCGAGGCTAGGCGTGAGGCTGAGGAGGAGGCCGAGGCTAAACGTAAGGCTCAGGAGGAGGCCGAGGCTAGGCGTGAGGCTGAGGCGGAGGCCGAGGCTAAACGTAAGGCTCAGGAGGAGGCCGAGGCTAAGCGTAAGGCTGCGGAGGAGGCCGAGGCTAAACGTAGGGCTGAGGAGGAGGCCGAGGCTAAACGTA